GGGGCCCGGCTCAGGTAGGGCTGGGGCTGCTCTGCCCCAGGACCGCGGGGAGGGAGCCCGGGAATCGCCTCTTAGCCGCGGTCCCCGCCCGCGCTCTTGCGGGGTGCTGGGCCCGCGCTGGGACCCCGCACCTGGAGAAGTCGGTGCCTTGGCACCTAGGCTGCTCCCGTGGCAGCTGCCGAGATACGACAGTCGGCATCGCTCTCCTAATCTGAACGGCAGTGGTCTGACCTCTCACATACCAGCTTCTCAAAGGGGTCATTGTCATAGCTTAAAAATAAAACTGCTGTAACCTATCCAAAAACTGGATCTGTTTCACCCCCCGGTATCTGTGGGCTCACATCGAGCAGTCCATAATTGGGATCAGTTACTTAGATTACCTAGCTCTTGAGGCCATCTCTGGGCAATCATGTATCCTGACATGAATGAAGTGGCCGAAAATGGTTCAAAACTCATCATTGTAAAATAGGACTAACAAATAGCTCTTGTGCAGAATCAATGACATCAGTCAGTTTCTCCTCATGTGTTGTGTTACTTTTCCTCTTGCAGCTCCTGGCTGCCCCAGAGGGTCCTGCTCCGAGAGAGTCACTGGCAGAGTTCATTGCTGGAGTTCAGGACATCCATGATTGTGAGGTGAGTGCAGCTTTTTTGGAGTCACACAAAAGTGTTCTTATGCATTGAGGGAACACAAATTTTCCCAAGTCCAAATTTAACCTTTAAGTGTACGTGTTTAAGTCTTTATATGCCAAAGCAGTTAGGAACTGTTGGCCTCCTGTGGAGACTGCAGAGGTGATACAGTTATCACTTTGTGCTTGTGGGTAGCACAACCACAGAACACAGCTGGAAATGTTGGGATTTATGCAGTGCTCCAGAATTCCCTGCTGGGCAGCACCAATGAAAGCCTGGCTGGACCAGAAATGCTTTGTTGTGAATGCAGAGGCAGCCCATGTGTATGCCTTTGCCACAAATCAGTGTCTGGTTTTGTTTTGATGCAGCTTGATTTAAAATACCCAGGTAGCTCTTAGGAACTGTTGGAGAGGGACTGTTTCACACTATAAATGTTGTTTTTTCAGTCTGCCAGGCAGGAATGAGGGTCAATTTGTGTTTGTGGAGTGTGCAATAATATCTTGGATCTGCATGGAGAAGTAACATCTACAGTCTGAACTTTGCTCCAAATGCAGAAATTTTAGAAGCATGCATAAAACCACTTGCAGTCTTCTTTAATGTGAAACAACTGGAGTATTTGTTCAAGACCAGGTTGGATGGGGCTTGGAGTAACCTGGTCTACTGAAAGGTTTCCCTGCCCTTGGCATGGGGATAGAACCACATGAGGTTTTAGGTCCTTTCCAGCATAAGCCACTTGTATGGTAAACCTACTGTGCTGCACTCTGAGCCAGTTAAAACAATTCTAATTCATTTTTTGTGGAACTTTCTCAGGTCATTGTGATGTTTGGCACAAAATTGCTCTTCCCAGGCAGTTCTCTGCAGAAAAATCTCAGCAGACAAGTCACTGGCTCCTGGAAATTACATTACTCAAATAAAGTTAATGGCTGGAACTAGTGTCAGGGACCAAATTAAGCAATGGAAAAGAAAGCTGCTGGTGTTGAATTAAAGGAAAAAGTATCTTCTTTCATTTACTATTTCCCTTGTAGAGCACAACCAAAGAAGAAAAAGAAAGTGGATGTGAAGAAAGAGCAAGCACAGAAGGAGCGTATGAAGAAAAAGCTTAAAAAGTTGGAAAAAGCTGCCCCAGAACTGATTCCAATTGAGGATTTTGTAACACCACTTAAGTACTCAGAGAGCAACAGGTCAGTAGGTCTGTCTTTCACCATGCACCTGCTCTCACAGTGGATTTCTTTCTCTACACAACTGCAACATAGTGTCAGCCTTGGTACAAAATGTTATCCACTTCCATCAGGACAAAAGTATGGAAAGGAAATATTACTGGTTCTTGCTAAGAGTAATGAAAGCCAGTGCATTTCCTGTTAGAGTGACTGGAGAACCTCACAGACTGACTAAATTATTAGTGAATTCAGTGAATTCTCTGGGTTTGGTGGGTTTTTTTTGCCTGGTGGTGAGATTTTTTTGTTTCAGCATTTTATTTTTGTTAGTTTGGTCTTTGGAGTCAGGCTATTTCTCTATTACAGTGTTATCCTTCTCTTCACCAGGGTGCGGAGTCTTCCCACTCTTTCTCCTGAAGAGACTGAAAGAAGAGTTTTGCTTTTGAAGAAGTGGTGTTTGTTTAAGCAGAAACAAGATGAGGCAGAAAAGAAAGCAATTAAGGCCCTCGTAGAATCTCAGCAAGAGGCGCTGAAGGAATTGCGCTTGGAATCCGAGGAGCTGTATGAGGCAGCAATCCGGAGGGATGAGGGCCTTTTCCCCTTCGAGAGGGAGGGACCCAGTTACACCCCTCCCCTTCCTGGCTACGATCCCCCCGAAGGAAAGTGCATTGACATCACCAAGGTATACACACAGTGATGGAGGAGCTCCTGCTTCAGCTGCCAAGGAGGAGCTCAGCCAACTTGAAGGAAGAAAGATTGGAATAAGAACAAACAATTCTTCCTGCAGGTTACAACACTGCAAGATGTGACTGTAAAAAAATAAATGAAGTACCTCTGTGTTTTAATGGCTATTCAGATAATAATAGCAAATAATAATAGCAAAGCTATATGATGTTACATAGTAGCAAAGCAAATTTTTTTTTTATTTTCTTATATTGCCATGTAACTGTTGTAACTAAGTTTCTGTGGGTTTGCCCTAATACAAACCAGATCTCTCTCTCCATTTGTTTAAACCTTTATTTTTTAGTAGTTTTGAATACTGCCATAACACACACCACCACTTGAACAGTTCAACAAAGGGGCAGTTTCAGGGTGCACAGCTCCCAGGTGAGAAACTCTTCAACCACCACTATCCTGATTCTGGGAAATGTCTTTTAAATGCCAGTGTTTGGGATTGTCCTGAGCTGGCAAGGAAGAGTCCCAGGCTGGTTTTTTTTTCCCCATCTGGCAGCCTGGGCTGGGTACTTTGTTCCAAAAGTGCTCAATGCCAGCTGGTAGGGCAGAGGCCCTCAGAGCTGGAGCATGTATGCAGTAATTTAGAAGGTGCCTGCTGAGATGAAATCCTAAAGTGTAAGACAGTAGTGAAAGACGGCAATCAAATTAAGCACCTCAAACCTATCTTTAAAAATACTGTGTTTAAATAAAATTTCAGTATTTTTAAATGAGTGCTAAAGTATTGCAGGGCAGGGCTACAGCTGTAGAATTTCAACATGATGTGGGGAAAAAAAAAAAAAAAAAGCCAGCATAATTCTGAATTGTGTATTATGTTGCTGACCAAACACAGAAAACAGTTTTGTTAGTTTGATTTGTCATGGTCAAGTGGTAGGTACCAGTCAGGTGGTGGGCTCTTCCTGAGCTTCCACACTGGAGCATATTTCTGTTTTTCCATTACTCGAGCTCTTTCACTCTTGCACAAAGCTTCCTGAAATACAGGAAAAATAATATTACCATAATGGCGTTGGATGGTCCAGTCATACAGAGCTGATTTCCTGCTGTGAATATTTGAGATAAAAGAAGAAATAAAAGTTTATCATGCTTAAGCAGAAGTGCTAAATATTATCTAAGTAAGCCAGAATATAAGTTTTTAACTGTGTCATATTTATATTTTGCCTCTGGCTCCCGAGTTAGGAAGGAAACTCGCAGTGCTGTGGAACCCTCCCCGCAGAGGCTGTGCTGGCTGGCAGGAGGGAGGAGTTACAGTAGCCCGTGCTGCAGGGCTCGTGTCCTCCAGTGTCCGCGGGGCTGTAGCCAGGGGCATTTCTAGACACCCCGGGAATGCCTTTTCCCTCTAACGTGGCGGCTTTTCCTATTAGGAAGGAAATGTCAGAGCAACACAAATCAAGAGCTTTTATACCTGGAAATTAAAAATATTCCCTGGATCCTTCGCTGGGTTTGTAAGACAATCCTACCCACCTCCGCTCCGAGCCGGCGCCTGCTTTTCCAAACCCTCCCCAACCCCAGCAGCCCGGCCCGGAGAGCCCCGGGCAGGCCGGGGCCAGGAGCGGGGCCGGTAC